TTAGGGCTTAGGGTTTAGGGAAGTTTTGGATTTTGGGGGATCGTACAGGTGTAGGCTGTTTAGGGTTTAGGGTCGAGGGTTTAGGGTTTAGGGTTGAGGGTTTAGGGTTTAGGGTTTAGGGTTGAGGGTTTAGGGTTTAGGGCACAGGTGTAGGCTGTAATATAGGGGCGTTAATAACTAGAATAGGGTTGGGGGTATATTATACCATAATTACAAGAAGGAGCCCCCCCAAAACCCCAATTATTAAGGCCCCTGCATTAGGGTGTAGCATTTAGGGGGTCGGCTTGAGAAGGTTTAGGGAAGTTTCAGGGTTTCTGTCAGGTACCCAAGGTTTCGGTTGAGCGGTTTTTGGGCAGAGTTTGCCTAGACATGGAGTGGGCCTGTCGGCAGGAAAGTACGCACCTTGCAGGGTACAACTAGATCCCGAAAACCTGTAGCCCTGAACTCAGCAATCGAAATCCTGATACGTCCCTAAACCCGACAATAATCCTAGGCCAAAGTAGCCCTAAAATCTGAACCCTGGAATTCAAACCAAACCTAAATAATTCAATCCCAAGCCTTATACTAATCTCCGGAAAACCCAACAACCTGTGTGGGTTTGAGGGTTGGGGGGTTTAGGGTCGAAGGGTTTCGGGGGTTTGGGGGTTTCGGGCTTAGGGCCGCAAGCCGGGTGCCCAGTGGATAGCCCATAGCCGTTTGAGGAATTTTTGCCCCTTCACAAAAACCCCAACTTAGCCTGTAACGCCCAAGGCATCTGCAGGTTTAGGGTTTAGGGTTTAGGATTTAAGGCTTAGGATTTAAGGCTTAGGATTTAGGATTTAGGGCTTAGGGCTTAGGGTTTAGAACCCTATGCCGCCCGAAGCATCAGGCGCCGAAGGAAGTGCAAGAGGTCCAGCCAATTTCGAAAGAGCTGCCGCCCAAGCTTCCGCGACAGGCTCGGGTTACGGTGTGGGCTATAGGGATATAAATAACAGATAAATACAGCAATATTTTTTTTTTTAAAAAAAAAATATATATATATATATATATGTATAAGGGTTCAGATTCACTAAACCCTAAAACCTAAACCCTAAAAGTGGGCGCCAAGGGTTTATGGCCTAGGATTAAGGGTTGGCGGCTCGGGAGGTCATGGTAAACACAGCTCTTTGGATCTCCTGCTTTTGGCAGGTTTTCGGGTTTAGGATTTAGTATGGTAAGGATTTTTATTGATTTTTAGGATCTTCGAGGCAGGGTTTTTGCCACCAGAGCCCATCTTCGGATACTTCATGGCAGCTGCGACCTCGGTTGCATGGGCTCTCCTCCCAGTCCTTTTGGTCCAGTCTTGGCTCTGGCAAAACGTTCAGCCCGAAGGCCCTAAGATACTGAAAATCGGGCCCTTAACGGCGATAAAGCCTTTAGGGTTTAGGGTTTAGGGTTTAGGGTTTAGGGTCGCAGCGTCAAATCATCCCACCAGCCTGGTCCAAAGCTTTTGAGACCGCAGTGCAAAAGGCCAAGCACCGGCAAACACTCACTGAAGCCGCAGAGTACCATGAGGCGGGACGGGGCTTGAATTGGTTCTGAACTTTCTGACTCCCCGATCCGATCTTCTAAAGGCACGGGTGTAGGGTTCAGGGCTTAAACTAGATGCATCAACACTCAATAATGGTATCCCCTGGTAGCCCCGTAATAGAACTACACGGTATCATCTTGTCAGGCCCCGGTGCTAAAAACCCGATTAACCCCAAAGCACCCGACAAAACTCATAAACTGTAGAGCAATGTAGAGCCCTATTGAAACTAGCTTGTTTGCTTCGTTCCTTCTACCAAACCCCTAGAAAAAATGCATAAAGACTCGTTTGCACTAAGCCCCCTTTGATGTGCTTCGGGCTGGAGTTGCAAGCTGCCCAGGGTCTTAGGATGCAGACATGGCTCATGGTTTGGGATTTATGGTTTTTTAGGGTTTAGGGCTTAGGATTTAGGGTTTAGTGTTTAGGGATGTTTAGGGTTTTATTTCGGGTTTTTGGGTGCAGTAAGGCATTTAGTATCTAGGGTCTACGGCGAAGCCTGCTTACCCGGCTCCTTTGAATCTGATGTCATGGATCCGAAAGCCGCTCCCCGAACCCCAAAACTGGAAGACATGGCGAACCAGTCTAGATTCTAGATGATCGTGCGCCCGGTCTTGTGCCAGATGGTGCAACAGGTATGTCGGACCAAGCTTCACCCTAAAACCACAGTTTTTGCAACCCCCAATCCTGATCGAGCAAAGCCATTGCGATAACATTCTTGTATAGGACTTGTTAAACCTATGCATTCTAGGGATGCTGAGTAACTCCTCGAACTTCATTCCTATGCCTCAGAGGAGGAAGCCCGACCCTACAGTACCCTCAACCTTAGAAGCTCTAAACTCTAAACCCCAAGCCCCTGAACCGTAACCCCTAAACCCCTAAACCCCTAAACCCTAAACCCTAAACCCTAAACCCTAAACCCACGAGGGCACTTGAGATCAACCTGGGGGCACCACTTCAGCCGCAAGAATGCGACCCCTCGGAGGGCATTAACCTGGGCTTCAACTCGGCGGAGCCCTATCATCGAGCAACTGCCTCGGGAGAACGCCGGGACAGTGACCGAAGCCGAAGCCCAGGGCCAGCCAGAGTGCGCACAGACAGCGAGGATGACCCGGACGAGGACGAGGAGTCGGAGGCAAGCGAGGCAGTACATGACCAAGAAGTGGTGGCCGCAATGACCGATGCTGTTATGGGCACTGCGGGGGGTGATGTGGCTGCAACAGATGCGTCCACCCTTCCGGGCATTTGGCGGGACCCGCCGTTGGAAAACCTGTCTAATCCGGACAGTGCCTTTGGACACGCGAGCTCGTCAGGATCTCCGCGGCGTCGGCGAACCACCTCCACGACTACAACCTGCCTGCAGCACAACGTCGCGCTGACCTACGTGATGGATGAGTCTTTGTCTACCTGCCCGTCCTCCTCCTCATCCCCTCCGTCGAGCTACTTCCCCGTGACAACACAGCCCATGGGGGTGGGACCCTGGACTTGGCCTGCAGAGGAGGAGGGTGACTTTGATTCAGACGTTGCTTCTTGGGTACAACTGCCGTGGGTGAATGGAAGGGGATGCTGCCACTGGTCAACTACCTCTACCTCGACGAGCTCCTCGCAGACCATTTGGCCGGCAACACTGGTGCGTGAAGCAGTGGTGGTGGAAGCTACAGTCGGAGGACAGGCTGATATCCAAGACCTCCTCCGTAGGCTGTTGGATCGACAACGCAACCTGCGGCACTGTGACCGGCTGCTGGGAGAGGCCATTGAAGAGCTCCTGGGCATGATCGAAGTACCACGGCATGCCCTCCCTTTCAACGCGGCAACAATGGATGCCAACATCTGGGGCGTTATCACCAGAGAAGCAACCAATGGCCATCGTCCTTCCAGTACGACCAGCGTGATCCCGGGTGGACAACCTGCCGTTCTGTTACAACCGGGGTTACCAAACACCGTGGCTGAGCTCCAGGCTGCCTTCCCGCACTTCGATGAGGCCACAATTGCTGGCTACAGGCGACGAATGTGGCGGACTCATGTCACGCGAGCTTACCAACGAGAAGGACGCGGCGCACCAGTGGGAAGATGGCCTTCGGAGCATGACCGTGACCTCTACCTCATACAAACTGACGGGGAGGTGCCTGTGCCCAACATCCCCAGTGTATGCCTGCCGCCGGAGAGGCCTTTCCTCCACCGTCGTCTACATGGCTATGCTGCGCGTCGGCGAGGACATGGTTCAGCGCGAACCTCACAAGCCTCGGGGAGCGACAACGTCGTGAACATTGGTGACCACGCTGCGGCATCTTCGCACTCCTCCCCGGTCATGCCGGCGCTCGGTGCTCTACGTGAACGCAGTCGTAGTCGCGACGCACAACAAACCTCTGCAGCCCGTGACGTCACTTCCCCGTCACATTCTCGTGAAGACCGTTCAATGTGAGCTGGCGTGGGGTTGTCTTTTCAGTGCAAGCCCAATGGGGCGAGCCTCTGACCTTCTGCGTGAGAAAGGGGGCTACTGCATTTTTTTAAAAAAAAAAACCCTAAACCCTAAACCTAAACCTAAACCCTAACCCCTAAACCCCTAAACGCACGCGAGGCTGCCATCAAAATCCAGCGCCACTGGCGCCAGCGCCCGCCCCGCCGCGTCGCCCTGCTGCGTCTCATCAACTCGGAGGCAGGGTTTAGGGTTTAGGCTGTAGGGTTCAGGGTTTAGGGTTTAGGTTTTAGGTTTAGGGTTCAGGGAGTAGTTCTGAGTGGGGTTATAAATCCCCGAATATGGGCTATAACTAGTGTTACCCCAATTATAACCCCACTTACAACTACCCATGAACCTCCAAGTAGCTGGCCCTAAAGCGTAAGCCGTAATTCTACGATGTAGGCACCTAAGACCCTTTTTGGGAAGAGAGCCCAGTGCCGCTGAATTCAGGAATATGTCTGAACTCGAAGCAGAAAGAGCTCGCTATGATTTAGGGTTTAGGGTTTAGGGTTTAGGGTTTAGAGGTGTATTCCTGAATCCAGGGGTATTGGGCTCTCAGAGTTTGTAGGGTTAAGTAAACCCCATGGAGCTTGGAACTGAACAAGGAAGACTATAGTGGTGTTGGTACTTCCATGCATTGCCCATAGAGTTTGCTCTTGGGGCGTCAGGGCCATTGAATCATATCGTGAGGCTTCTTGGCCCAACAGCCGTGCCATAGGGCTTAGGATAGGACGATTTGCGGGGGTTATATATACCCTCACCCCCAGGTACCTACTATATAGGGTACTAGAGCCCCTAGGGCCCCATATAGTAGGTACCTGGGGGGTAGCTTTTACATGCAGCTATCCTACGCGAGGCTCGACGCCGCCACCAGAAGCGACCGAGCTTCCAGCTTCCTGGTGCTAAAGGTAAGGCCGCCTTTTGCGAATCAGGTTAGGCTTGCAAGTTCCAGGTTCAGGTTTGCAGGTGTATAAGTTTAGGATAGGGTTTAGGGCGTTTAGGGTTTAGGGTTTAGGGCTTAAGTGTAGGAGTCTTTAAAATGAGGCTCAGACTGCCCAGGGCTTTTTCTCGAGGTCCCTCCGTTCCTGAGGCTCCCCAAAACGTGGGTTTGTGTTCCAAGAGAACCCTAAACCCTAAACCCTAAACCCTAAACCGAGAAGATCAAAGGCGGTCGCCGGAGAACGATGGCACGGCGAAAGCTAGGGTTGAGGGTTTTAGGGTTTTAGGGTTTAGGGTTGTTAAAAGCAACTCCTGGAGATAACGTGTACTACCCGATGGTGGCCCTGTCTGTTTGTCCGTTTACAGTTTTTCCAATTCCGAACTTGAGGCCCCTGTATTCTTTGCCTTGCGACTCGAACCCGAAGCCTTGCTGTGCTGAATGAACCCTAAGGGTCCATGTACTCATATAGCATATACATGGGCCCTAACGTACCTATATAGGGACTACATTAAGGCCAATGTATATACTATATGAGCACATGGACCCTTAGGGGAATGGAGTTAGCTCCTGCAGCAATGACCCCCCAAAAAGTCTTCAAAACTCCAGACCCCATCTGTGAGACTAATGCAGCAGTAACCTCGGGCCTCACTCCCTGAACCCTAAAACCAAATCCCTACACCCCGAACCCTAAAACTCCCTGTGACCTGAACCTTTTGCATCCTGAACCGTAATCCCAAAACGAATCCGAAGCCCGGGTGCTTTTGGACCAGGGTTGGCCATTGCCTGCCCCCCAAGGATGCGTGCCGCAGTGTGCGAGGACATCGCACGTGACACAGCGAAGGCCCCATGACAATTGTTTTAGAGGCGTTCTCGGGAGTTGTCAGTTTTAGGTAGTTGTAAGGGCTTTTATGCACTTGGGGTTTGTATAGGGGTTCAGGGGTTGTGGTGTAGGGATAAGTACAAGCCTTCATGAACACTAGGCCGATAATCCCTAAACCCCCTGCGTATCGCCCAAATCCACATTTTTCAGCATCAACGCTACGTAAAGCGGCAATAGTTGCCAGTAGAGGGCAGCTCACACTCCTTGGCTTAATTTTGCGTCTAGGATCTAACCTTGGAGCCCAGTTACCTGTGCTACCGTTCCTCAAACCTTATTATAACTTCCCACCTGGCATGAATAGTCCATGAATAGGCTCCTAGGGCGTGGCGGTGTACTCAGAGCACATGATACTCCGTCAGTGACTCACAACTTCACATTCATGCATGTAGATAAATCACACAAAATAAGCAAATAGCCAAAGCAACAAACAAATATATACATCGACAATAATAGTCTATATGCGTATTTTCATATAACACATATACAATGTGTGTGTGTATATATATATATATATGTGTGTGTAATATTGTTTCTCATATGTTCCTGTAATACATGTCTATATATATGTATAAAGTTTTGACATGTGGTGTGTGAGTGTGTGTGTGTGTGTCTTTGTGTGTATGTGTTTGTGTATGTGCTTGTTTACAATAGACATACTGCAGGTAGCTGTAAGAGGAAGACACTTCGGACAAACATGGCTACAATTGCATGTCCATGGCTCGGCTGCCTTTAGGGTTTAGGGTTCCCCAAGGCAAACATCTCGGTGCGTTCAGACATCACTTCTTGAACTTCCCTTGAGGTTCGACATTTTCTGCCAGTATGGACTTCGGCCCCTGCCGATTACAGTATCGACCTGGCTCCATACCGACATACACAACACATATAAGACATAGATACAATGTCAGCTCAAATATTCATATATGTATATATATATATATGTATATTTATACCTATGTGTATACACAGGGATATACATCGGGTGTGTGTATGTGTGTGTACATGATCCCCAAGACCCTGAATCTCAAAACCCTTAGACCCCGATGCCCTAAGTTTCGCCAGGATCCCACCTAAAACCTCGACCCCAAACCCCATAAACCCTATAAGGCCCTGAGCCCTAAACCCTAAACTGTTTAGGGCTTGGGGTTTCGGGTTTATGATAGCCCTAAACTGTTTAGGGCTTCGGGTTTTAGGGTTTATGATAGCCCTAAACTGTTGAGGGCTTGGGGTTTAGGGGTTATGACAACCCTAAGCTGTTTAGGGCTTGAGGTTTAGGGTTTATGACAACCCTAAGCTGTTCAGGGCTTGAGGTTTAGGGTTTATGACAACCCTAAGCTGTTCAGGGCTTGAGGTTTAGGGTTTATGACAACCCTAAACTTTCTAGGGCTTGGGGTTTAGGGTTTATGATGACTAAACCCTGAACACTATACTAAACTGGACAAGCCAGGATCCCTCCTTGAAGCGGGGCCCCAGCATTTGGCAGCTGATGCAGTGCTCCACGGTGATCAAGGAGGTCCTTGAGGACGCCTGCGTCTGCGGTTGAGAGGTTGTAGGGTTGAGGGTTACCTGCGCACGATACTTCGACCTTTCTGAGTTTGGATAGTGGTTAGAATGAGCTTTTTGTTGAGTGCGTCACACTGCACACCCAGCCCAGAACCTGAACCCCTTTCTACAGCTGCGGGACCCTGAACCCTAAACCCGTAAACCCTTAAACCCTAAACTCCCGAAGCTTTTTCGATCGCCCATTCCTGAAATGCCGGACAAAAGAAGCCTGGATAATTACCTATCAACATTCCCCCCCAGGTTTCCGATTGTTCACGAGTTGTATGCCCCAAAACCACCATTTTGATTTTTTAAGGTCCCTAGATTGCCCCTTTTGAAAGCCTTGACATGCGCATTTCTACAGAATCAGAAAGCCCAATACCCCTTCATTAAGGAGTATGCTTTAAACCATAATATTAAGGTCCCTATAGTTCAAGGTGTATTCCTTAATTATTGGGGTTTGGGCTCTCTGGGTCAGATTTCAGGGTCCTAAACCTTCACCCTTCCTCAACCCTGAGACTCGAAGCCCAAAGCCCAACATTTCTGACCATAGTTTCTCTAGGGTTGCTGCCAGTGCTACTGTAGTGGTTTAAGTTATAGCTTAGGAACTACAGGTGTAGGGATGCAGGATATCATTTTAGGGGTTGGGGCCCGACACCCTGATACCTTTGATTCCCCCCAAAACCCTAAACTCTAAACTGTAGGGGCCTAATTACCAATACTATTTTATGGTTCCTTATTATACTTATAGTCTAAGACGCCCCCAAAACCCTATTCCAACTATTAAGGCCCTTACAAAAAAAACAAACGGAGAGGAGGACGAGGATCGGCACAGGATTAACCCTAAACCCTAAACCCTAAACCCTAACCCTAAAGGCCCTAAACCCTAAACCCTAAATTACCTCACGCAAACCTCGCAGAGCCGAGCTCCAAACTCGAAACCGCCCCTCTTCGACATGGAAGATGCCGAGCCCCAAGCCCTAGTCTAAACCCTACACGCCCTAATCCCCGTAAGCCCCTAAACCTTAAGCCCTATATGGGTCCTAAACGCTATAAACCTTGTTAAACCCTATTAGCCCTAAACCTTGCACGCCCCAGTCCCCGCAAGCCCGAAAAACCTGAATTAAGCCCTAATAGACTCTAAACGTTTAACTCTAAACCCTAAACCCTAAGCTTTAAACCTGAAACCCTCAACCCTAAGCTTCAAACTTTAAACCCCAAACCTTAAGCTTCAAACTATACACCCTAAACTTTACACTTCAAACCCTAAACCCTATACTTTAATCTTTAAACCCTAAACCCTAAACTTTAAACCCTAAACCCTGAACGATAGTGTTTAAACCCTAAACCCTAAGCTTTTAAACCCTGAACCCTATAGGCTTTAAGCCCGAATTGAGCCCCTCCGCTTGGAGGATGTGAGAGGCGCTTCCAAGCTCTGCCATTCCTTAAGCGGAGGTCTTGCCATTATGACGGAGGCAGTGAGCTCAGACTGGCTTGTCCCAGAAGGTTTCCCTAAGGGGTTTACGCGATTTAGGGTTTAGGGTTTAAGTTTTAGGATCCTTGAGCATCAAAATAGCCCAAAAGCCATGTATAATAGGGTCTTTGGGTCCAAAAGCCTTATAATATGAGGGTTTCAGGGTTTCTGGCACAGAGGTTTAGGGTTTAGTATGATTCAGTTGTAAGACTTCAAGGTTTATGTTGTATCGTTCAGTTACTTTGTAAGATTTCAGGGTTTATGCTGTTGCTTTTTTCGAAAAAGGGTGGGTAGAGGGTTAGATTGCATAGAGTTCAAGGCTTTAGAGAGTTTCAGTGTGTATTAGGGGAAAGGACTCTAGCGCTTCCAGCATCGATGTTTGGATTTCTGGAATTCGTGGGTTTAGGGTTTAGTTTTAGGGTTTAGAGGTTTTTCCTAAAGTCTCACAGAGGGTATTGGGTGTTTAAGTGCTTAGGGCATTAAAGATTTTGGGCTTCAGGGCTTCAGGGTTCAGGAGCCGTTCTTAGGATTCCTGGATAGTGTTTTGTGTCACGGATTCCGAGACTAGGATGTATGTTAGAGTACCTTCCTTATTTAGGGCAGTTGTTTAATCTAGGACATTTTCAGGTGGGTGTTTACCGTTATTAGGAGCCTTATAGAAGGTCTACTTATGGAAGCCTTATAGAAGCCCTATATACCCTAAACTCCCCACCTGCAGCTTCCTTTGATTTAATGGTTTAGGCCGTCAGGGGGTTTTCGACCCCAGTGTTGTGTGGGGTTTAAGTAGGGTTTAGGGTTTAGGGTTTAGGGAGGGTTTAGGATGCAGGGCACGCAAGAAAGGAAGCTCGGTATGCGGACATAAAGCAGGAAGTCCCATCGTCGAGTTCCGCGTTTGTAGTCATCAACCCAAACATTCAAACACACAGGAATCCAAACCAAAACAGCCTACACTTTCTGTATATCACCGTACAAGCAAACCCTGTAAGCACAAACGAATCAAGCCCAAACGCCGTGTCTGATTAGTTGCTGTGTGAAGTGGGGAGGTGGTTTGTTCTGTCCCTCGTCAAGGAGACTGCACTTGCTTCTTTGGAGTTTGCTCTTGCGAGGCATCTCCTTGCATCTTCCCCTTTGGGGGATTCTCCCTAAACCCTATATATAGACCCTAAACCCTGAACCCTATAAGCCCTAAACCCTGAACCCGAAGCCTGACATCCTCAACCCTAAGCCCCATATAAGTTAAACCCTAAACGGTTTAGGGTTTTAGGATTTTAGGGTTTAGGGCTTTAGGGTTTTAGGATTTTAGGGTTTAGGGCTTTAGGATTTTAGGGTTTAGGGCTTTAGGGTTTTAGGGCAACCATGAACCGCAAGGAAACTGTAAACAGGCCACCAGGCGCAAGGAAGCGGCCCGTGGTCGTCTGCGCGACATCATGCTGCTCGTCGTCGCCATGATTTAGGGCTTAGGGTTTAGGGTTTAGGGTTTAGGGTTTAGGGTGATTTAGGGCATAGATGTTTCCGTTGTCGTTTTTGTTCCGCAGGCTTAAGTTGAGGTTTGGGGTCTAGGGCTTTGTTTCTGGGCTTGTGGCTCAGGGTTGTTTTGGACATTTTGGGCTGGGGGTGTAGAGAGACTTTGAGTATGTAGTGGCCTAAATAAATTCCGATACTATTTTGGAGGCTTCTTGATACAAGTATTGTAGACTATACCCCAAAGCCCTATTGTAACTATTACGGCCCCTGTGTGATTCGGGGCTGGGGCTGATACGGTTTACGATCGAGCTTATGGGGTTCATGCGGCTTGCGGGGTTTAGGCTAGGTTGGTTTGGGATGTTTTTATTGGATGTGTTTTGGCATTCTTGTGTCAAGGGTGCGGGATTGGACTTCTAGGTCTTGATACATTTTCGGTCTTGGGTTGGCGTTTTGAGGGTTCGTGTTTCGATAGGCTCAGGGAATCCTAGAGAGAAAGACGACATTCGGAATTCATGGTAGTGTCCTCCTGTAAGTATTTGGCTCTCTGGATCATATTTCTATGGTTTCCGCTACGGGACTTTCGGGTTCAGGTTTCGGCCGGCGCAAGTCTTAGTGCTGACGGGGGATATAGGTTTACTTTCGCCTTTACTCAAGAAACTCTATGATTTTAGGACCCTTCAATAACACGGAATAGGCTCAACCACAAGACATTGAGCCCTAAACCCTAAACCCTAAACCCTAAAACCTATAGCCTTTGCATCCAAGGCGCCGCGTCTGGCCCAAGCTCCGCGCAGTTCTAGCGCTTCGGCACTGTTTGTGGTGTGGGCGGTGGGCTTAAGTTGAGGGTTTAGGATTTAGGGTTCAGGGGGGCTTAGAGAGTCAGATTTAAAGTTTGGGGTTTTTGGTGTTTATTCGTGTCAACCCCAAACCCTGATCTCTTGTAGTTCGTTTGGTGCTTGTCTGCAGGCTTGAGTCTTACATGCCACCATAGTCCAACAGGTTAGATCCAGTACGAAGTATACAATGCTAGCGTGATCGAATAATGAATAAACCAGGTGTCACCCTCACCCGCAAGTTTCCTGAAGTTGTCGCAGTCGCCCCGTCTATGCCCTGGAGCCCCCGAACAGGCATTTCGCCCCAGGGCGCAGATTTCAGACCAAGTTCGAAAGGCCAGCAAAGTCCTAACCCCAAAAGAAGCCCTATCAACTCTAAAGCATAAACCCGCGTTGTGAGCAGTTGCGTCGGGAGGGTGGGTCTTGCATGTGTAAAGCAAAAACCTTAAACCCTGAACCCCAATTAGACCCTGTACCTTAAACCCTGATACAGGTGCCGGTTTTCTAGAAGAGGGTTTTGGGGCCCATTATACTATAGTCAGACTAAGGAGCCCCCAAAATCATATTGCTACTTATTTAGGCCCTCATATTGAAAGCCCTACTTGGAGGTTCATGGGTAGTTATAGGTGGGGCTATAAATCCTTGAATATGGGTTATAACTATAGTTACCCTACTTATAACCCCACTTACAACTACCCATGAACCCTAAACCCTA